TGCACCGCCTGAAATGGTGACAGTAAAAGGGTCTTGACGTTAAATAATCGAAAAGTATGTTTCGTAATGATGAGTATAAAATACAGCAATGAACGAGGGGAAGAAATCCACAAATACGAAAAAAATTGATATTTGAAGTCGCTGCAAGAAACAATCTCACATTTTACGGACTGGTCTACCAGATCATGTCGGGCTCACCACTGAAGATACCACAAGTATTCGAAGTTTGACAACATCCTAACCCGTAACACCTTTTATGATCGGAATGTGCGAACCCGTCAAGTCAGAAGTCAAAAGCAAAGAGACAAATATATATTTGGTAGAATATCGATATATCGAGAGATGATTGAACTAAGTTGGCTAACGGTTGTAGGAGAAATGAAGCGTGGTGTACTTATTCGTGATCTGGTTAGGATATATGGCCGAGCGCCTTCAGCTAGGTGAGTACGTTAAGACTAATGTGGTCAGCAAAAAATTTCCGAGATTCACAGAGCTATCGATTTTGGGGATTTACTCCCCGCTACGAATTTTTTTAGCATGAATTTATAAATATATTCAGAAGCACCATTCTATAGAATATCTGAACATAGCCGTATCGTTCCCATAGAGGCCAGAGATTTGTGCTCACTTGAAGAAGAGTAAAGCAGTGTGATCGATCTACCGGAAGAAACGTAGTATATTCGTGGTGACATACGTCTAGTGTAGTCTGAATGTTGATAATGAGTTTGTCTCGTGTAGAAAGGGAAATTCTTCAAAGTTTTCAGCTGAAAAGTGTTATAATAAGAAGTATTTGGATTATTATACTACTTAGGAATTCCCGAAATAGTACAATTTACACCAAATAGAACTAGATGAGCACAAACGAACGTGATGTACTTGACATTCAAAATCAGGTAGCCATCAAGTACAAAAGAATCATTAGTTCATACAAACACCACAAAAAGCCAAAAAATATGTATTATAAGTGAGGGGTTGCAAAACAGACTAGGCGTGTTCATACTGATCTTCGGTTTGTTGTTAGTGTTCAATTTTTCAAATCATACATGCCCATTAGTCACCGGATGATGAAAAAGGATTTGAAGTTGTTTGACAGAAAAGTAGTATAACCAAAGAAACAAGAAAGTTGCTTGACTTCATAGTAAGCAAGCCATCTCGGTAACTTCTATAATGCTTGAGAAGATGGGTCCCATGGCGAACATGAGAAATTTTCATGGTCTTTGACAAAGTGTCAAATAATTGTAATGCTAATTTTTATCCCGGAAAAATTATTTCACAAGTTGAAATCATGAGTCAATCGAAGCTAGACCACCATGATTTCAACTTGTGAAATTTCTAAAAATCTCCACAAAACCCATTCTGATAATAATAATCACCTGCTCACTAGTGACTGACTTCAGGAGATACTTCTGGTGTTCTAGTGAGAAGTCGTTGCCAGTGGAGTTGAACCAGGTCTGTTGTGAGATAGGAACTCACTGAAGACAATGGTGTACGGTGGCGCAACTTCGTGGATTGGTTGAAGTTGGACATTAACACCGTTGGATGCCGGCCCAGTGGTCTGATGGTTAAGTGCTCGCGTGCGAAACCAAAAGGTCCTGAGTTCGAATCCCGCGTGGTGCGGGGTCGTGGATGCGCACTGCTGAGGAGTCCCATACCACGACGAAACGGCCGTCCAGTGCTTCCAGGTTTTCCATGGTGGTCTAGCTTCAATTGACTCATGATTTCAACTTGTGAAATTTCTAAAAATCTCCAGAAAACCCATTCTGATAATATTTCACTATTATTGGGAAGAAGTCTATGGTTATGGAGTTTCGCCTAGATAAAATATTATTTGTAATCTGATATGCTGAGAGCTCTGCTCATAATAAGTGGAACTAAAAGACGACCGATGCTAGAAATAGTCTGAAATCTAGTTAACTAAACATGGATATATGAGGTGTGTATGATAACTCATGTTATGCCACATATACACTCCTCCTGTGTAGACGAAATCGAGAACACAACTGAATTAGAAAAATATCTTGAAATTTCGTGAGTGTAAATATTGTTAAATAATCTATATATTTACTCTTATTTAAAGAAATCATTTGTTGACCGCCAATACGGCCATTACTAATGAATGCTAGATAACGAGCTTCATTGTAACGTCTAGTGCAAGTAGCCTGAACACGCCACATATAACAGTAAGACGAAGACATCCCTGTGAATGCAATTCATTGCATGAGAGATTCGCCCAGTACAGACTCACACTAGGTAACCTTATTTAAATATCCAGATTATGACTGGCGTTTATAAAAGAAAGAGGAATTTCATGGCGTTGACAGTATGAGATCAGGATGACTGTGTAAGTCATTTCAGATTTTTGCAGACTGCATATACGGCATCATAAATGTCGGTAGCTTTCGCCTCTTATGTTGAAAATCTTAATAGTTGTATAGATCCTTGCATAGAATTGAGTACTTAAGTTCGAGAAACTGAGCTATCGTTGAATTAGATTTGTGGCCGATTCTCAATAGTGTAGTTTTATTTCCCTTTTTTACGAATGATGCATCCGAACTAATAATTTTGGCGTATCATCTCATGGAACATCACTTCAAATCCAAATTTATCATTCATTACACGAAATGGTAGTAGATTGTATCTTCAATACACTGAGTCACCGACAGTAGTGGAATGAAGATTCAACTGATTGCAAGATAATCCAGCCTCTCTGAAATGACGCTTTGTGACTTACGGTCTCAGAGGAGTTCACAAACTTAGATGACTTTTATTGTATATAGTACAGCTAGTTATGTCGAGTATATGGAACTTTCTAATTACGAAACATTTAAAATATGATGGTGAGAATCCTGGAATTTGTGGAAGTTGACACGAAAGCGAAAGGATGGATTCGGGAAAGATGTTTTTGTACTCTAGTCACAAAGAATAAACTGCTCCACAAACTCAGGGATTTCCTATGATGCTGTCCAAAGAAGCTAATGGATCCAAGAATATCAAACTAATCTTCAAAACTGTTGGGGACGTTAGATCCTCAGAGCGTACTTGGAAAAGGTCCTAATTTTTGTAATTTCTTTCCGAAAATTGAAATTTGTTTTCGCGTCAAAAGCGCTCTTTTGACCTTCATGTCGTATTTCCAATTTGGGGATCCTAGACGCTATTGGTCCTTTGTGCCTTTTAGTATGCTATATTGTAACTCTCTCCAGGGACGATTTGTGTGCTGTATACATACGTTTTCGTTTGTGTCTGTTCTTATCCCTCGTGTTTCTGCGGATTATACTTCTTCGTTCGGACTTTGACTTCTCTCTCTAGTTAGCGGGGCTGGGAAGCAATAGTATAGCTCGTATATTGGTCTTTGGTCACAAGTTTTTGTTCCATTTGCAGACTACGTGAACTCGTAAACGCTTCAAACATAGCGAAAACGAGAGGATTATAATGGATATTAACCAATGTTATGCGCCCACCAATGATAGCGATGAAGACCAGTTCTACGAGAGGCAGCAATCGATCATACAGAAGTGCCCAGGAAAGGATCTCACTTCCTGATGATAGACCTATACGCCAAAGTCGGAATGGACATAAACGGTTATGAAGATATCATGGGATGACATGGAGTGACAGGGATAAAGAAACGAGAGTGGTGACAGATTTGTGAACCTATGTGCATTCAACAAGTTGGTTGTAGGCGGCAGTACTTTCGTACACAAACACATACACAATGACACACGGGTCCAATCGGATCACACTATAGGGAATAAGATCGGTCACGTTTGCATCACTAAAAAATTCAGAAGATCAATGGAACACGTGAGAACCTGGAGAGGGACTGATATATGGCTTTACACCACCACCTGGTGGTGGACAACTAGAGAAACATTTATTTCTCTGGTTAGCGACTTTTTAGCCAGTTAGTTTTCTACGGGATTTAATCGCCAACCCCATGCCAAACCCTCCTCCTTTACCCGGGCTCGGGCCGGCGACGGTCCCAGAGGGGCTCCAGGAGGAGTTAGAGAAACATTACAGAGGTTCGGTACAGCGTTCATAAGAGAAACTGGCAAACTCAACGAATTCAAGATAATTCTCAACAACAGGTTCCAAGCCTTACAGGATCTGCTGAAAGAAGAAACTACTAAGGAGGACAACCAGAAACGGATTGAAGAAATTCTGACTTAGACGTGTTAGAATGTGCTGGTCCGCAAGAGGAAGGATGAACAAGAAGACAGGAATCAAAAACAGTCGAACAAGAACAAAGAAAGTTAAGGCACAAGCTGAATACACAGAGGCAAAGAAAAAAGTGAAGAGCATTAGACACGACAAGCAAAAATACATGGAAGATCTAGCAACGACAGCAAAAAAAGCTAAAAGACAACCATACGACACAGCGAAGAAACTGACAAGGAAGTATAGTAAACCAGAGAGACTGGTCAAGGACACTGAAGGAAGACAACCGCCAAGATTAAAGAACAGATGGGTAGAATACTTCGAGGAACTTTTGAATAGACCAGCTCCATTGAATCCACTGAACATCGAAGCAGTATATAGAGATGACACTCCACCAACGACGGAAGAAATTAGGTTAGCCATCAGATAAATCAAGGGCTGGAAAGCAGTAGAACCTGACAATATACCATCTGAAGGATCTGATGCAGACCTAAAGGCGAGGATCGGCAAAAGGAGGGCCGCATTCCTGCAATTGAAGAACATATGGAACTCAAAACAACCGCCAGCCAATATCAAAGTCAGAATCTTCAATATGAACGTCAAGACAGTTCTACTGTATAGACCTGAAACTTGGAGATCTACCACAAACATCATCAAAAAGGTACATGTATTTAAAGATAGTTGTCCACGCAAGACAATCAATACCTGTTGGCCGAATACCATCAGCAACAGTCTATTGTGGGAGAGGACAAACAAGCCTACAGATGAGGAAATTGGGGGAAGACGCTGGAAGTAGATAGGACACACATTGATGAAATCACCAAACTGCATCATGAAAGGAAACGGAAAAGAGGAAGACCAAAGAACATACCTCGCCGAGAATCGAGAGCAGATATGAATAGCAACTGGAAAGGAGTGCTCAGGACAGAGTTGGAGAATGATGGTGAGCGGCCTATGCTCCTCCACGAGGGGTGACAGGCTTAAGTAAGTAACATGATATACCTATTGATAATTGTTGCTATCATAATTTCTACAATAACTAATGATACATCTCCCCTAGACAGTGTCAACTTTTGTCGTGCGATTGTGAACTACTGATTAGGACTGAGAAGCTAAAGCTAAGTAAAAAAATGATTTCTTACTTCTTGTGAGATGTTTTAACTTCACTATCGACGTATTTCGCTAATACTTAAGACAACCGGTGTAAAACTTATTATTTTCAATTGATAACATCGAATAAATCAATGGGAAACTTAAGTGCATTCCCTAGTATGCTATCCGTCGTAACACAATACTTGTAGATTTTTAACTGTAGAGTCTACAACAAGTGTTACTGAAAGCAGTTGTTCGTCAAAATGTTTTTATGAACATTCTATAGGAATTTTTAAATAACTGAAATATAGTGGACATGTAACTGCTCTGATGATACTCAATGAGTAAATGAAGTGTAATGTAAAACTCACAAATGCGAAAACCCTATTGAATTTCATTTGGAAATGAACTATGACACATCAATGTCTCTTCGTTAATATTACGTCGCTGAAAATGTATGCTTTAAACCAAATTGAATCAATTAAAACGTATATCACCGGATTTTAAAGCAACCATTTGACAGAAGCTACTTGCTACTGAGGATCTTCCTGAAATTCTAAAGGACTTACTTATGACTCATGTTCCAGAAGTTCCGAGTAGTTGGATTATAACAAGAAAAATAATTCCCGAAAACATATATAATTATTAGCATATTTTAAAAAGGGTATAGTTAGCAACTAAGCTATTTGAGCGTCTTTGACCCTGAGTGATTTAATTACAGCAAGAGAAGACCCTTTTAGTGTCCATGAAACATTTTTATACATAGCGATCCCGTTTTCATTTACTCTAAGATCTGGTTTCACTTGTTCAAAAATTTTCTTTTTGGGATTAAGTTGGTCATCAGGATCGTCTGAAAAAACGGAAAAATCAACTAATTAAGCAGTCAATTAAAAATAAAATCAAGACAGTCCAGAAATTAACAGCAATGTAGTAGTTGAGCATAATCAAAAAATGGGTATCCCAAGATTGAATATATCCCGTCTATCCAAAATTGCTAAAGTATGTTCATTTGAGAAATGGGTGTCACTAACTTTCCTCTCAGTCACTATAAGAAATATGAGAGTCAAGTTTTCCAACATAGCTAAGTACTATACTCTGAAAGTCACACAGATGAAAAAAGGAATAGAATAGAACTACTTGGATTTAGGATGCCTGGATTAGGACGTATATACCGAAAATAAGCGAATCATTGATTCTGATCAAATCTTTCCTCATCAAGCTTAATCAGTTTAAAGAACAGTCCGAAAGGTTGTAAAACAATTAGTATGATGAGAATGTCATTTTTAAGACAAACCAGACTTTGTGATTTGGTTTAGCGGAACTTCATATATTCTGTGGTGGCCTTATTTTGTTTTAAACAATTTAGATAACTCGTCCAACTAAACTATCTACAAATGTCAATTACATACCACAAAGCACATAATTAGTCAGTTAGATGTTCTAAATACACAATACAAATCAGTCTAAGGCCGCTAATGGAAGCTCATTAGATTCTAAAGAATTACCCTAACCTAAAGAATGTGAAGTACATGTTCGTGTTAAGAAAGATATACGTACTATTTACAAATATGTATGCCTCAATGATTAGGTCTGATTATGATAACGAGAACGCGTTAATATTAATCACTAAGTCACTGCACTCAGAATGATTTTAAGCACGATAAATAACCAAATAATGTCAAAAATATCAGCAGCTAAAGTGTGATGTTTAGTTTTCTTTTGAAAGACTAAGGACAACTAAAGTTATTACTTACGATTATATCCAGGAACCACGACTGAATCACCTAACTGTATATCTGGGCCCTCAACAATCAGAGGCTCTACTCCACATGTATCTGGAGAGCTTGCACACATTAGCATTGCTTCCGATTCAACACCACGCATTTTTGCTGGCTTGAGATTGCAGAGAAATATCCCGACTCGGTTTTGTAGTGACTCGATAGGTAGATATTTCACCAACCCACTGACAACAGTGCGTATTTCATTTCCACCCAAGTCAACCTGAATAAAATGGCGAAAAGCACGTTTTAGGTTATAAAATACAAAGCTTGGACAGACTAAACACTTTATATAAAATATGAATGCTGATTTAAAGAGATGAGATAGGAAACCACATACTTTCTCTACGTATAACGAGTCAGCATCAGGATGGCGATTTACATCTATAATTCGACCGACACGCAGATCCAGACGACCGATATCAACAGGCTTTTCAGCAGACTGTGGCTTTCCATCTGGTATTTTACGTTCGGTATTCCGATTTTTAGTTTTCACCGAGTTCGTTTGTACCTCTGTCCTCTGTTTGGGTTGCTCTGCTATAATAAACCACAAAATGAAAAGTTCTATTACTAGCTCCGGAAGAGATTTTTATGTCAGTATTATGCAGCACTAAAAAAGGTAGCCAAGCACAGAATAAAAGTATTATGAAGAAAACTAACACAGAGATGCCTCATTATTAAAATACAAATAAAAAGACTAGTATTCAGTAAACGATTAAGACAAATTAAAAGAACAACTAACATCGACTTCATTCGGCCACGGAGTTACATCTGGCTTGTTTGAAAAATGCAATGTGAAAACAAACAAGACAGACATAGCTTTTTAGTTCGAGCCACTGACTTGTATGGCCACAAAGGGCATTGTGACTGGCTAACATTTATCAATCCCTTACAGGATTTTTTTCACTTCACATAATAAAATACCCACCTCTACTTTATCCGCCTAGTTCCCACATCGGGAAAACAATGCGCGACAAAGAACATTCGAGAAAACGGTTTATTCCCAACACGACCGGATTCCAAAAATGGTGTGAACAAATAGTTTATCGTAAAACCCAAGAGCAAAAATAAGATCTCAACATTATTCACACGGTGTTACAACTGCATGTAGATAAGTCCGTTAGAAGAATGAAAACGGAAAAGCAGTTTAAAAGTTCTTATTTAAGAGCCAGATTCCATGTGCATTGAGCAAAATAGAGGCATAGCTGAACAGTAACATTCAGTTTGCAAGATTATTTTTATTAACAACAATAATGATTTCGGTTGTTGCCAATGAAGAAATATATGTTTATGGACATAAATATTTGATAATCAGTTCGCCGAAAAGAGGTCTCATTGTTAAAAAAATAACAATATATTAATTGAAACCTGCAGTATTAGAAAGGCCATCGGTGGCAGCGATTCAGACTTACTAAATTTATATTTACTGACAAAGTCTCATTCCCAATATTTACATTCATTTTGTAGGTTGTAACCGTATTTAAGTATCCGGTCTTTATAAGCAAACAATATCCAATATTGCCCCGGTAACAGTAAACCAGCTTAGCGAAAAACGGTGACATCATGCTAAATACTATATATTACGATGAGTTATTAATATAATAAACCTAAATATGAATCAAGAACTAGAAATTAAACGAGCCCATTTTTTACATTCTGACATAAAGGATCATACCATTGGAAAAAGTGGATCAATAGAGAGGAAGAACAGAAACTAACCTTCCGGCACTAATCCTTTATCGGACAAATGTCCGGTTTCCAATGAATTTCCATTCAAATTAGAACCATTGCATACAGCCTTAACAGAGGGTAAATGATGAAGTTGTTGTTGATTTACTATTTGTAAAAAGACTTATTAGTTAACTTGACTAACATCCAAGAAGTAGCTCCTGCTGAATAACTGATTCTTTTAACGACTTTATCCTGTGCAACAACTGTTTATTCTGTACTTTGAGGCATGCTTCAACATAGTTTACTGCATCTGGTGTTGCAATTGATTCCAAATGTTTCAACTTGTCAGAAATAGACTGCAATAGCTTGTTCATCTTTAAAACGAATGAAAATGTCCCCATAACAAAAGGCTATTGTATTTAATCGGAATTCACACAAAAAATATAGTGTAATTCTTAATACACATCTGTGAAATCAGGTGTGAGAAATAAAGCCACTGTACATAAGATTAGTATTATTTACATGTATATGAAACAACCGAAGTGATTATTAAAGTTTACTACATTACATTGGCGACTCCATTCATATTAAAATATTACCCAAAGGTATGATACCGAATTCGAATTAATCCGACCTAAGACCTGGCACTGTTATACAACGTTTGAACATAGGATGGCCTGTTGGGATGCAAGAACACTAAACTCAAGAAAATCATGCTGGTTTTAGATGTGACCGTCTTTGAATGAATCAAGTACCTTTTGTGATGCTCTAGAGAAGAACTAACCACATTATTTCACGTTATATACAGATAGCACTGATTTAAGCCTACTACTAGAGAACGTACGGAAGAATTACACAGATGCAATGGACAACGGAACAATATACGGCATTGTCTGCAGATAGGATATTTGTCGATTTCAGAAAGGAGTGATATTATAATTTGTGCGACGTTAAAGTGACTTTGAAAGTGTCTACCTACTGAATAGAGCTAAGTGAGGGTTATAAAGCAGTTTGAAGAATAAGGATTATGATTTATAGTTGATGGGTGGGGTCAGGAATTATATTTATGGTTTTCATCACGAACTGACATCCGCTATAATACCAGGATTCCATTTAGCTAAATGGGTGAATGAATTTCGCGCCCAAACGCAAGACCCGTTATCGTAAACCTGATTGGTTCGTCCATAAAACGTAGTCTCGCCCGCAGACACTAATTTTTTACAGATGATATCAAAGTCATGAGTATATTGAGTAATGAGACTGATTACCTTGCTATCTAGGCTGATTAAAGTCTGATAATTAACTATAGAAAGAGTAGGCTGGTCACAGCGCAATATTTGCCCGAGTAGCGCCAATAAGATGAGGCTTCCAGAAGTCCGGAAACAAAAAGATCTAGAGGTAATAATGCGTTGTGAATTGAGAACGACTAGTTTTGGTAATACAGTAGTAGGATACGTTTTTCACGTGTGTTACGTCGTTAAAAAAAGCAGGAAACCATGCAGGCAAATGTTTACAACACTTAATTCGCCATATAGAAAAGAACAACAATGAGCTAATCCCTCACCAGACCGCCTGGAATAACTCACCCTCGCAACTCGAAAGTACCGTGCACACTTGTACGGCGCGCCACACACCACGCAATGACAAAAAGCAAAAAAATTCATGTTCTTTTTCTTCCGCGAACAGAGTTTGGCTCGGCTTCAGAATAGTATCTAGAAGACATTTTTGATATATTTTGTTAATCTTTTTCAAGTAAGCTTTCATTAGTGCTGAATCTCAAGGACGTGTCAATCGGACCCAACTTCTCTAAGTAATACGTCCAAAGAACTCATAAATCTGTGAGAAAACCTGTGTGTCCCCAGGGTATTTTACACATAGGATCAGCGAAATCGTCGGCTATGTTTACTGAACTGTTCTGACCCAAAATCATTTCTTAGTACTCTATACCTCAAAATAAAATAATCGCTTAATCTGCAGACGGACAGTGTAAACAAGTATAGCTTCCAAGTACCATTTCGTACAACAGGCCACAGACTCCCGGAATTGTGCAGGTAGCTAACTTTTTCATGGTTTAGGAGGTGATTCAACATTTTAACCGATGTTTGGGTGCTGAACGCATTTTTAAAATTCAGACATATGTGCATCCAACCGAAGCGTTTAGCATAACCGGAAGGTCCATAGTCAACCTCGGAATAAATTCGTAAATTCCCACCCAAACTGGACTAGACCAAAAATTCTAGTCAGGCCTATGTAACTGATTTCTACTGACTTCTTATTATTGTACGGCTCTTTTCACCTGATATACATGAATAAACAAGTGAATATCTCGACGAAGACGTACGATAATTTGGAAAAATACAGTTATACCCGAAACAGGAAATTAGGGTAGAAAATAAAGTGCAAAATATTATGTTTAAATTACAATATTTTCGGAACAAAAATGGTATGCTAGTGAATGATACATAGAACGAAAGCTCGTGTTATGTAGAATAAGATAGGGACAAAAATAAATATAAGTGTTTTACAGGGTTTGAATGAAATGCAATAACGTCCCAAGAAAATAGCTTTCGTAATTGTCTGGGCTTCTTAATTTCTCGTTCACAACAGGTCAAAGCCTTTGAAAGTACTTGATCCATGCCGACCATTCGCCGTAGGAGACGCCAAGGACAGCCTACCTAAATGTAGTCACGTGCGGATGCTTGACCAACGGCCCCTTACTAGAAGCATGTCCAGTATTTCGAAGTCTTTAAAGACTAGTCATTTAGGTTTTGACTTGCCATTAAAACCTCTCCTGGAATTTCTCGATTTTCTGTGAAGTGCCAGCATTTTCCAGTATGTGGTTGACATGGCGTGTCCACTTCTGTCCTTCAACTTCCACCACATACATTACGTTCCCTTGTCTCTTAAGTATGCGTCCACTGGTCCATTGTGGAGGTGAATATCGGAAATCGCGGACGTATACTTTTTGATTTTTTGGAAAATTCTGCGTTTCGCCCCATGATGGCGATCAAATTGGTTTTCCATCTTTCTGTTTCTTTTTCCGATGTCATTTTGCTGTGGTTTCATGGCATCGAGAGCAGTTCTTACTTTTCTACCAAACATAATTTCTGCTGGGGACATTTGATTTGGTGTTGATGGGTTTGGAGTTGTTCTATAGACCAAGAGAAAGTCATCAAGAATCTCCTCTATCTTTCCCTCCCCTTTTGCCTTCAGTAGCGCTCTTTTGAAGGTATCTACAAACCTTTCGGCCTGACCATTCGATTGTGGATGGTACGGAGGTGAACGGACATGTTTGACTCCAAACCTCTTGCAGAAATCTGAGAAGATGGAAGAAATAAACTGAGTGCCGTTATCTGTCACGAGAACATCTGGAACTCCAAAACGGGAGAATAACTGCCGTAGCTTCATGATAGTCTGTTGCGAAGTGATTTGATTTATAGGAAAAATCTCCGGCCATTTTGAATAAGCATCAACACAAACGAGGAAGTACGTGCCAGCAAAATCAACATGTATACGCGACCAAGGTTCTTCTGGAGATGGCCAGGAATGTAGTTCAGCTTTTCGTGGACACTTAGAAACCTCAGCACATTTTCTGCACGCACGCACGAAATCTTCGATGTGTTCATCGATATTAGGCCAATATACATAACTTCGAGCAATAGCTTTCATTCTTCCAGTACCTGGATGGGCTGTATGCAGTTGTTTCAGGACGAGTGAGCGTAAGTTATACGGAACCACTACGCGATCAGCAACCATAATACAGTCATTTACGATGGATAAAGATTGGCGTCGTTGATAATACTGTTTCAGTTCATGAGATGTTATACGTGGGGGCCAACCACGCTGGATAAATGTAGATAATCGTCTTAAGATAGGATCGCGGCGAGTGTGTTCAGCGATTCGAGCAGCTGTCACTGGAAGAATTTGTGTTGAATTAAACAACATTCTGCTTACATCTTCTTCCACTGATATAGAAGCGATAACAGTATCTTCGTTTTCAAGCTTATGATTGCTTATTAAGCGCGATAATGCATCAGCATGGCCAAAATCAGAGGTAGATTTGTATTTGATAACGAAATCATAACCCAATAGCATTGTAGCCCATCGTTGGAGGCGGTTTGCGGTATAAACTGGTATACCTTTCTTAGATCCGAAAATTGATAATAGGGGTTTATGATCAGTGATTAAGGTAAATTTTCTGCCATGCAGCATCTTGTGAAACTTTTTTACTGCGAAAATTAATGCCAATCCTTCTTTCTCAATTTGGCTGTACTTGCGTTCTGCTGAAGTCAATGTTCTGGAAGCATGTGCGATAGCCTCTCTTTTCCATCTGGAAACTTATGGGATATGACGGCACCGATACCATAGTCAGAAGCATCTGCAGCAACAACGATTTCCAGCGAGGGATCAAAATATGTAAGAAGTAGATCCGACGTTAATAATGACTTTACTTCGTCAAAACATTTTTGACACTTAGTGGACCAATTCCATTTTACATTACTGGATAATAATTGGTTCATGGGTGCCCGGAGGCGATGCAATTGTGGCAAGAAATTACTGTAATAACTGATAAGACCAAGGAAGGAACGCAGAGTTGCTACATTAGATGGGGGAGGCATATTTTGGATAGCTCGTACATTTTCCGGATCCGGGCGTCGTCCATTTTTGTCGAAAACAAAACCAAGATATTTCACCGAGTTCATGAAGAATGTACACTTCTCTTCTTTTAGATAGAATCCACACTCAGATATTTTGGTTAAAACAGTATCGAGTCGATTGAATAACTCGGACTTACTGGAACCTGTAACGATTACATCATCCAAATAGACAGCGACTCCTGGCAAATTAGCCAACATAGTGTCCATTATTTGTTGAAAGATAGCTGGTGCTGGTTTCACACCAAAAGGTAAACGCTTATATTGGTAAAGACCTCTGTGGGTGTTAATCGTCAGTAATGGTTGGGAGGCTGGATCAACTTCTATCTGAGATATGCGTCAGCAGGTCAATTTTAGCAAAATACTTTCCTCCATTTAGTTTGATGAATAAATCTTCCTGTATGGGAAGTGGATACGTGTGATCTTCTAGAGCATTATTCAGACCAGTGGAAAAGTCAGCACATATGCGAACAGTTCCATTTGCTTTTCTCACGACCACTATGGGGGCAGCCCACGATGAATAATTTACTGGCTCAATGACACCTAGTGCTTCTAACCTGTCCAATTCTTGGTCAACGACTGACAGAGCAGCATAAGGCACTGGTCGTTTCGGTCTGAAAATGGGCTTTGCATTTTCCTTTAGTGATAAGGATACTTTGGTGAATTTACAACAGCCCAGTTTGTTTTGAAATACACATGCATGTTTTTGTCGAAGATGATTTATGTAAGATACGGACGACAATTGAGAGGAAACAGAAGACTTTGATGTAGACATAACATTAGAACGAAGTACATGAGATTCCGAAGTTTCACTAGCGCATACTTTGTCTGAAGTATTCGATTTGGAAATTTTATGAGAAGGCAATGAATCGGCGGTATTTGATTTGACATGGTGAGAACACATAACATTTGAATTGTTTGATTCAGAAAGATCATAAGAACATGTTTCATCAGAAGCATTTAATTCGTTAATATCCAGAGAGGATGATTCGTCGGAGGCATTTGATTTAGAAATATCATTAGGGATTTGGATAGACTCATAGGAAACATTTTGAGAACATACCTCATCTAATAATTTATTCAAAGTATCAACATGTGCAATCCAATCTAATCCCAATAGATCTAAATCGTGTCGATTTGTTAGATAACAAACATCTGTAAATTTACTTCCCATAAGTTGAACATTGCATAGAACCTCTCCTGTCAACTTTACTATGTCTCCTGACGCATTTCGGGCGACATGTTCCGTCGGTCGGATGGATGGGCATCCTAACTTGTGCCATGTGTTCTTTGAAATCAACGTGACATCAGAAGCAGTGTCCAACTGAAGTCGTATAAGTTTTCCATTTACTAATAAATTTACAAATTTCCGCCTACTTTTAAATCCAACTTTAAAGGTTGCAAACGTGGTTTTAATTTGACTGTTTGATCGTTGCTTTGAATTTTCACTACGATGTTTAGTCTTGCGTTTATTTAACGAACAATGACCTTCTTTGTGGCCAATGCGATGACATTTGCGGCATTTATGATTCTTAAACGGACAGAATTTTGCAAAATGCCATGCTCCGCAGAACCAGCATGGTGATGGGGGGTTGGCAGGTTGTTTCATGCTTGTACAGTTTTGTTTCGATGATTTTATGGATCGGAGCGCATTAATTGAATCAGAACCGGAAGGTTTAACCTTCTGTTGCACCATCGCAGTGTCATGCTTGAGATTAAGTAACCGCTGACATTCGGTTGTGACCATTTGTAATGTCATATTTGGTTCTTGTTCAATGCGTGCCAACATCCTGGTACGGACATCTGCATCTTCTTCATTCTTTAGACCACATATGAAAATCAAGCATTTAAATTGGTCCGCTGTGATTTCGTTTATTTTGAAGCGTTCGCACTCTCGATTTACCTTCCCAGCATACGTGAGATAATCGTCCTCTGGAGATTTCGTTATTTGGAAACATTTATAGC